CATAGCTAGAAAAAAGAGAATCTTCACAAGGATTTTAAACTATTTTTCTTTCAAAGAACTTAAAATCTTTGTATAACATTTTCATTTCTAAGATTCTTTTAAATTTTCTATAATTCTAAGAAACTAATCTTGAGTACTTCAAGAGTGACAAAACCAGATGTCGTTCTACGATGAAAAAATATTATTGAGACTTACAAAGTGTGTTGTTTAAAAAATTTTGAATAAAGGAAATATTTTCTGAAATGTAAAAGGATGAATGCTAAAATTAAAGAGTGAAAAAAATAGTATTTAAAATGTAATTGTGTGGGGTTTTAATGTAATGCTATGTATTTTCTGAGAGTAAGAGCAATATAGTCAAAGCCCTAATGAAAAAAGTACAGAAATTGCATTATACCACCAATTCCTCATATGCTTGAAGTTCACTTCCTTTTCATTGCATATTTGGTTTTGTTAATGAATGGTCTTATTTAGCAAGATGCTTAAGCAACATGCAACTTGAACATGACATGAATTAATTCCCTTTTTATACCTAGTATTCACAAGTTTCCCTAGGCAGATTTTTTCATGCAAAATGTACAACTTCTTATGCAATATCAAAATCTGAACATATGCAGAAAACTTTCCATAGAGACTACTCACTGATTACTTTTATTCAATTTCCAATTTTCAGTTGAGAAGTAGGCTCAGGTTAAGTATAATAAACTCCTCCAAACATAAGACTTTTAATATCTGTGTTTGAAGAAGCAACAGAAGAGAAAGGCATCAACACTGAGGGAAAAACTTCCATTTTGATTAAGTAAGTCATACCTGAGACACAAATATATCAGAAAATATGGCTCTATTGTATCTTTTCTCCACTGTGTTCCCTTAAGTATGTGTCAATCCCTACTGCAAGAAATTCTGCTCTGCTTTGAAGGGCAGAAGGATTCTGCTGCCATTTGAAAAATCAGAAAGGAAAATTCTCTTTTGTAGTGCAAATCTAAGTTGCACCTTCTAAGTTTACAACACTAAACAGCAAGACAGGAAAAGCAAGAGAGATCCACAGCATAGACTGCTGGAAAGCACATGAGCTTTACAGTTTTTCTTTATTTAACACATTATATGGGTGTTGATTACTGTACATGAAACACTGTCCTCTCTGTTGCATTTTCAAACCAGCACTTAGCCTAAGCTGACAGAGATCACAGTATGACTTCCTCTATAGGCTAATAAAATGTATAATATAAACCCAAAGCATACAAATAGTAGCTTGTTATAAAGGAGACCGATAGGTTTCCTTTTATCAAGTAAAGTTTTAACACTAGGAAATGTGTTTAACATTTAATGTATTTATTTTATATGTGCATGAATTTTACATGCCTAAATACAGCAAACAGCTAAAAGCACCGTTTTTTCCTACTATAACTCTTAGAAATTACAAAAATTAAAATGCTCAATTTATCTGTCTTGTGGGAGAGAAAAAACTGCAAGCCTTAGCAACACAGTGTAAGCAAAAAAGCTTGGTTTGTTGCCAAGGTCATGGGTTGTGCTATGTAAAAACTAGAGTAAGAAGAAACACAGCATTTTAAAAGGCTTGCTGTGGCAAACAAAGAGAAAAAAACCATTTTTGTTGTAACACTGTGGGACTAAATTCAAGGCAGCATAAATTTCATTCAGATATAATTTTGTGATATTTTAAATGAGCACATTAAGTGAAGTCTTCTTGGATTCCCTAACCCTCTTTATTTAGTTTAAGTTTTTTTCACTTTCTGGCCTCCATAAAAGACACAGGCATTATAATTTTTTTTTCACATTTTAATTTTTTTTTGCACAAACTTTGTGTTACAGCCAAATAATGAAGTTCTTAGTAAGAATTGTGTCTGGACAGTGACTGAGTGAGTAGTCTCTATGGAAAGTTTTCTTGACAAGGACTCTTAGATTTCTGTGTTTGGTTCAAAGAGTTTGTCCCAAAAGTAAAAGTAACATCTTTCACAAGGCAGGACATGCCAATGTTTAACCTGACTCCCCTCAGTGCTCTCATTTCTTTCCAGTTTTAGCAGCTTGCCATATTGAAGGTACTTGTTAGTAATTCTTTCATTGGCAATTGTTTTCTAGACCACAATGGAGAGCAGTGCCTCTGTTGGAGCTAACACTCAGCTCTCTTAGCTTAACTCCTGAAGAACCTTGTACAAACGGCCTTACACTTACACTCCATCACTGATCCCAAAAGAGAAATGTAGGCAATATTTATAATCACTGCTTTTCCTAATCTGTACAAGTCAGTATGCAATTTGAATTCAGCAGCCAACATTGAAGGTAAGCAAAAATTAATGATGGCATTTTTAAACCAGACCTTGGAACCCCCAAAGACTCAGAATAACTAATTGCTTAATTAGAAAGATGCTGCTCTTTGGAATGGCTGAAAAACTGAGCTTTCTGAAAAAAAGTCTGTTGGAGATAATGAGAATTTCCATTAGCTCCAGCACTCAGAAATCATCACCACTCCAAGTGACAGAGCTTGGGAAACAAATCTAGAAAGACTCAGAACCTGTTTAAACATTTCATTTGCACTAATATACTTTTTTAATTTAAGGAACTGAAATAACTTTAAGGAGAAATGATCTTCTAGCACAGCAGCAGCAAGAGTCACCAGCAGCATTTGTGTGCAATAGCAGTTCTGTACCCTGCATGAAGAGTTAACCTGAGTCCTTCCTCAGAGTGTTTCACTTAATCAGTTGCATATCTTGCACATAGCTAACTTACACACAGAGGTTATAAAAATGAAGTAGATAGAAAAGCTTTCAACCAAATTGAGAGATTTGTAGACCTGACTACAGGTCTTTCAAAACTACAGATGTTTCAATACAGTTCAGATCTCTGGTATGTTTAACATTACTGTACAATTAGCTTTTCAATGCATTCCTAGAATTTCTTTTGTGTTCCCTGATGAATAAAAACTTAATCCCAGAATTCTGTAGGATAGAATCATATTTTGGCTTGTATAGTTTGTTGCAGCACAAAGAATCACTGCAAATCCCAAAGTCCCAGTGCTACTAATGAACTGATAACCTGAACAGGGCCTCATTGTGTAACCACAAAATACAGTAGAAGCTAGAATTCATAAAGTCACCCTGCAATAATTCAACCACTGTGACAGTTTGGGTGTTATTTCACAGTGCAGTTGGTTTTCATTCAAGAGGACAGATAAATTTAAGAAATGCAACTTCAGAATAGCCAACTTTTATAAAGTCCATAAAGAATGCTGAGCCTGGCAACAAAGCCAACTGAATTTGAAAGGTTAATATTCTGTAACCACACTGAGATTGAGAGCTGAAATGGCCACATTATAACTTTTTAAATCGTCAAGGCAAGGATACACAGCTGATCAACTATGTGACAACACAAGCCATACACTGCTTTATCATACATGAGGACAAGAATGCCATCATTCCTAAACTGGAATTATGTGCCAGGGAGATGAGCCACTACATTGCCTGTGTCCATTTTTAGACATGTTTTTATTCACATCTCTTAATTCTAAAAATCATGACCTATTAATTTTCTTTCTTCAGTTTTCACACATAGTGATTTCCTATAATTTAGGAATTCTGATTTGGTAGATTCAAAATTCCCATTCTCCATCCCTCTGGGCCACTAAGGGGAGGGGACAGAGAATCCAAGGGTGAAGCTCAGCCCAGGAAGTAGGAATGGGTGGGGTGAAGGTGTTTTAAGATTGGTTTTATTTCTCATTGCCCTACTCTGCTTTGATGGGCAATAAATTAATTTCTTCCTCTGGGTCAAGTCTGGTTTCCCTGTGGCAGTACCAGGTGACTGATCTCTCCCTGTCCTTACCCTGACCCACAAACTCTGCTGTATTTTCTTTGTCCTGTCCACTGAAGTGGTAAAGCAGCTTTGGTGGGTACCTGGAGCCCAGGGTCAACACACCAATGAGTTTAGACATAAAATCTGTTACTTTGCTAATGCTGACACATTTGAAAGTGCCTGGAAAAGCAATAAAATGAGTGGATTTCTACAATACCCTTACTAGTGCTTAAAAAATTTTGTCAGGATAATCCAGCCATTCTTTAGCAGTAGAAGCAATAGACACGTGCAAGCACACTCAGAGCCCATGATTTGGCTGACAGACTGGAAAACCCAGCCTGCTAAATGTTAAACCAGAAAATACAGGCAGCTGTCCCACCTGCCCAGCTAAACCACCAACAGAATAATGTGGTATTACTGCTCCAGCACTTTTCACTTGCTCCTCCAGGCAATATTATCAGATTTTTATATGCCAACAGGCACAAAAAAAGCTTTTGTTACACTTCAAAGCAGAATCCCTAAAACTACCCAGGGTGTCAGAAACTTCAGGTACAAAAGCAATTCCAACTTCTTTGTACTATTTTATAGGTCTTTTAATTTTGAAATGTTTATAAACTTTGCCTTCCCCATTCTCTCTCACCTTTGACTCTAACACTGTACCACAAAACAGGGATCAAATATCCAGCTTTGGAACTCCTTCCACTTGTCTTTGCTTCTAGAAAATATATTCTTTCTCTATATTCATTACCATCTTTTCTTGATAATTATAAAAATTTGTCAATTTTATTTATTTCTTATTATTAGACAGTAATAAAGTATTACTTCATTATTCACAAAATTAATATCCAAGTTTCAAGAGAATTGTGACAATGGAATTGTGACAATTGTCTTTGGTTATCATATTCTTTTTCATAGCCATATTCCAGCACTATAATATGCCATGGCTATTGAGTGACACTACATCAACAGTTAATTTTTTTTTTTGCTTGAATTGGAGTAACAATGAATGGAATTTTGAAAACATACAGGAACAAAACTATATGTATAAAATATTTTTCAAAATATTAAGATATCTATACTTCAATTCTAAGAATTTATTTTTAAAACTGAAAGATGTGCTAACAGGACTTATTAAAAGTAAAATTAACTTTGGTACAATCCCTTTGCAATGGTTACAGAAATCTGATGTGATCTAGTACCTTGTGAAGTCTGCCATATTCAGTACAAGAATATGCTTCAATGGTGAAATCATCTTAGCACCAGCCTCTGTAATCCACTGGCAATCAGCCACATGAATGTGCCTCATGTAGGGGCAGCATTTACTCATCAGCTTGAAACTTAAATCATCATTTTGGTTATTCCCTGTTGAAATATTTAAGAAGCAAATTACACATCTGACATACATTAAGAGCATGATCCAAATACCCACTGAAATCAGCTGAAAGAGTTATTTCAAATTATCTGAATGAATTGCAAAAATACATAATCATAATAATTTTTTTATCATTATACTAACCTTCAATGCTGACCTTCAAAAGTTTACATTCTGCAAGGGCTTTAAAAGTTGTGTCAGAAAGTGTTGGAGAGTCAAGAAAGACAACAGACATTACCTGTTGACATTTTTCAACCAGAGCTTTCGAAGAAAAAAGGTGGAATTAAACATTCATATGTTCATGCTGTCATGTAGGGAAAAAAGATCAGCAAATATTCTCCATATAATATCAGAAAGTTACAATTTCAAACAAATAGTTATAATCCATGTAACAGTAGCTTCCAGAGAGTGAGTGGCACATAAACCACTGGAATTCTCCATATGGTTATTATGTTTGGAAACACAAGGAAAAGAAGCAAGTACCTGGAGACATGAAGTATAGCAGACCCCAGAGACAGTGATATAGTGAACAATCACTTTTGCAGAAGCCTGGAAGTTCTTTTTTGATGGGCAAAATCAGTAGCAGAATGCTGTTCCCACATGTTATAGTTGCTTAACCACTGAAAGGAATGAAATGCTCTTGTTTATAAACTGGAAGACCATAATTTAAACATACCAATGAAAAAAGAAGACAAGACAATTGAAGTTTTCTGACAGTGAACGCAAGTGAGCAAGATTTATAAGCAAATTCAACAATAGTAAAAAAATCTTTTGCTTAGAACTTCTCCTCTTGAATTGATTCTTACTTCTTTGAAGTCATTTGAGAGGATAGCTCAGTTCCAACATCATAAATTTTCTCAAAAAGTACAGTTTATTTTCAGTTTCTAAAAAATACATCTGTCTGTAAGAGTTAACATTTTGCTGATTAGCAAATCTTGAATCCAATTGCAGCCATTGGCAGTATTTTTGAAGACATCAGCTCAAATTTACACAAGAAATTAAATGTTTATGTCTTAGCAAGCCTAACAAAAACAGTACAGGAAAAGCTTGAGATCTTCTCAATGCTTTAACATCTTACCTAGGCACATGGATGCTCACTAAATCAAGAAATGCATTTATCTCACTAGAAGAAAAACAGATACATATTGCTCTAAAATGTAAACATAATCTAAGGGATCTGTTAAAAAATGTGCCCTCTAACCAAGCAAGAGTCAGGTTCAACATTTTGTACAGCTGAACCATTTATGGAAGTGGCAATGAATGTTACTGTCTCATTATTCTGCCTTTGTTTGCCCAACCTTACGATTTACGTACCTATGGTAGATGTTGAAATTCACTTTGAAGCAAGTTCTGAATGTAATAAAATATCTTCATTATTTCTTTCCAGATCCACAGTAAAATGTGTGTTAGATTCAGAGGGGGTACAAGGAAAGGTCCTCTGCAGTCACAATAATATTGAGCTCTTCTACAGAATCCTTCATGCAGGACCACAACAACAGCTCTGCCTACTCCAACAGTGCAATATTCAATGAAATCACAAATGGACTGATGTATCTGTCAATTCAGTTTATTCCTTTTATCACTCCAGGGAGACAATTATTTAACTGCTTAAATTCAATAGATGTCCATTCAGTCTTGGGCATACAAAGTGTTTCTTTTCACATATAAATGCTGTGCAAATGACAGTTTCTTTTCAGCTTCTACAGAAAGCATAGATGTGAACGATTCCTCCCCATGAAGTAGTCCCCCTGATATTTGCATGTAGAGATCTCACTGTTTCCAGGATTTTGAAGGTGTGTAGTATAACAGTTGATGGTTGAACTTGGGGATCTTAGAGATCTTTTCCAACCTTAATGATTGTATGATTTTATAGTAACTCTGTGCAGCTCAGACTACAGCCCCAGGAATTCATTTGCAAAACATCCACAGAAAAAAAAAAAAAAAGTAGTCTGGCAAGTCCTCCTGGGTACCAAATAAGGCCTGTGGAGAGAAGAATCCAAAGAAGGAATCTTGTAATATAAATAGACTGAGGGAGATTTTTGTTGTGCCCCACCTCTCCAGCTGCAGCAGAAGCATGAGGTGCTTGGCTACCTTGCCTGAGGGGAGCAGCAGTGTAAGGCACAGGCTTTGCTCAGGCTGGGAGCAGCAGTGTAAGGCACAGGCTTTGCTCAGGGATGAATGTTGTCTGACACCACTAGCAGACAGGAGATGTCACAGAAAAGCAAGCCAGAAACTGAGCAGCAGCTGGTCACCCATCCCACCTCAGCATGGTAACAATCCACCAGGACATTGGTGGATTGTTGTGTCATATGGAAAAACTTTAATTCAAACTGTGCCATATGGATAAAACTTTAATTACCATGGCTTTATGAGGACATGCTCCCAGTTCTTGCACTTCTAGTCTCCAGCATTTGTAGCACATGACTGGTCCCCACTACTACTTATCAGTGGAAAGTAGAATCAAGCCTGCTTTACTTCTATCTTACATTGAGTGAGGAGATTCACACCTTGGATTTCTGGCTCCTCTTTATGAAAATTTAGCATTTGGGTTCCTCTTGCATGTGAGATGTTTTTTAATAGAGAAAATGACTTTAAGTTATAATCAAGGCAGACTGTCTTTTCTTTTCTGGCCTCATCTTTTAACTTATGCCCAGGTTGGCTTGCTCTTTATTTTCAGGCTGAAGTGGTCTTTAAAACAGATTCTTTGTCAATTGTTTTAAATGCTTTGATGTTAAATATTGTTTCTTAAAGGACTGTGGCACTCTTTGCACATTTTCCTTTGTGCAAAGGGATACCAGCCCAGAGGGAAACTGGCTTCATGTCTGTCAAATGTATTCTTAGACTTAAAGTGTGCAGATCTCACATACAGACAGACAGACAGACAGACAATATGGTGTGGCTCATAACACACACTGGCACTTTTAGCACTGTGGATGCAAATGTTGTGAGTTCAGGACAAGTGTAACATATTTGTTTTTCTACAGTGGCTCTGTAACAGCCTGCAAATGACAGAATGAAAACCCTACCATCGAAATAAATGGAGGAAATATTTTACTGGTCATGCATGGTGATATAAATCCCATCAAGTCCCATCCCTCTGACAGCTGGCTTTGTTCAAGGTGGGGTCTGATGTGGTGCAGCTGTGTTATCCTGGATCAGGCTTCTCCAGGAACAGCTGTACTCTAAGAAGCAGATGAAGAAGGAAAAAGAGCAGAATCTTGTTCTGAGGCTGCAGGAGAGGTGGCAGAGAGGGTTTATAAAGAAAGAACCATCTCATAACCACAAGCTGGTCAGAGCATGTACTGCCTGTTGGTGCACTCCAGGCTCTCATACCATGTCAAACTGAGATGTGTCTGTTGGACAAAAGGACACTGTGACTTTGAGAATGTGGGCAACACATCAGTGAGGATCTGCAGATAGTACTGCAGACCTCACCACCAGCATGGATAGAGTGGGTTTGCCCACTACAAATGATTACAAAAGAACAAGGTACAGTGTAGGGCTACTGTGGCAAAGGCAATCAGTCCTCTTTTCTACTGGTAGTGATCATCAGAAGATAAATGTCAGAAGGGTCAGATGTGTGCTAATTGTCAGGACAGAATATGAAATTCAGTTTTCCAGATTCCAGTTTTGTACTCACTATTGGTATATGCAATGAGACATAATCCTGTCTTGTTTCCATACCCCAAAATATTCAGTATGTATGAAAGGGAGTAACTTAATGGTGAATATCTGAGGGATGAATTGGGAAATCTGTACTTTCTGCTGGTCAAGAAGCACCAGTTGCTTTAACATGGCATGACCAAGTCATTAAAGCAAGAGTTTACCTAACTCTGCAACAGGCCTCTTGGTTGTTGGCTCTTGAGCAGCACAGCAACAGAAAAATATGAATCCTGGGATCTCTGTATAGCAAAAGAGCAACAAAAATCCCAAGACAGGTCTGAATCACCTCTGGAGACCTCTCCCACTCTCTAATTTCCATATAAATATATGAAGTTGATTTTCTAGTCACTACCTTATCTTAGATGCCTAAAATAAAGTGAAATTCCCATTCTCAAAGGGAGAGATGGTAGGTAGCAGGTAATCAGATCAAACTCAGCAATCCTGACAGACATAGCATGACTTTTTCTGGAATTCAGTAAGGACTGCATAATGTTAAATGCAGTCTAAAGGACTTTTAATCTCTATCTGGAAAACCACTGTTTGCTTAACATAGACATTTGATACCAGAAACAGCAGAAATCTAGGGCTTTCCTCCATTCAAGCCAAACCAAATTATAGGGAAGCAGTTAATAATAATACCACTGCACAGATTGTTTCTAATTTCTTTCTCATTTGAACTGGTTTTTTACTTAAAAATGGACAATGGATCTCAGGCATCAGGTTGAGAAAGTTCCAGTGTGAGATATGCATTCAGATAAGATTAAATAAAATTAATTAACATTTAAATCTTACTGCAATAATATATATGTCTCTTTCCTTTATTTCTAGAACAATAAAATATTAAATTTCTTTCCTATGTCCCCTGTGGATTCTCTGTGAAACTTCAGGCACTCTCAAAGATAAGGTACAGAAATGTGAGATTTCTTGCACATTTTAGTAAAATAATTGCTTTCTCAGCTCACTTGGAATTTCTGTGTTTAATAGATTGCCTCAAGAGTGAACAGCTTGGCTTGAGAATTAATGCTAGGATACATATGGAGTTTAATACTGTATTCCTCACCCCAGATAAGTAAAATCCCACTTAAACCTCATCTACCAAATCAATTGTGATGAAGAATATTGAGGTTATTGAATCTTAGGTCCCACAAAATTCTGCAAAACAGACTTTTTCTGCATGACTCAGTAAAATCATTCTATAATGTCTTATTGTTCTTGCATATACAGATCAGAAGTGAATGCAAAAATAAAATATAAATGTAAATAAAATTAGGTAAAGAAGTAAAATACAATTCATTGTCTGTAGGAGTTTTCAGTCTAATGTGTAAATTACTGTCTTGGGCTTTTATCTTGATTGCATAATAGTATACTATGATCTGAAATGAAAGTACAACAAAAAAGAAACATGGAGCAAACCACAGCTAAAGATCTGTCCCCAGGGATTTAGAAAATAATTGCAGTGAAATGATGAAATGTTTATAAGAATATCAAAGTTCATTTAATTTAACCTTTCTATAGTTTCTTATCCTGAAGAATAGGGGTACACAGGGTTTTTATTCAGGTTTGGCTTTTTTG